TCTTCGTCTTCCTCAGAGCCGATGATCCGAGTCGATGGTCCTCGCTTGTTATTCGTCTCGACGTGGAAGCTTCGCCTTCGAGTTAGGTCTTCTTCAGTGAGCCATCTCCTCGAATCTCCTCAGTGAGCCAATCTCGATTCGAGGAGATGGCTCACTGAAGAAGACCTAACTCGAAGGCGAAGCTTCCACGTCGAGACGAATAACAAGCGAGGACCATCGACTCGGATCATCGGCTCTGAGGAAGACGAAGACGTCGAAACGTTAGCCGAAAATAAACATCATTATCAACCTCGTGTAAGCTCATCAAAGAAAGAATACATATAATTTAAAGAAGAATGAAGTAGAACGAGGTTGGTAACGCCTATAAAACACGGCCGAGAGAAAGGCGAAACGAAGGGCACCCATAGTATGGCGGTGAACACGTTATTTCTGGAAAGGATAGTAACGAGGTTCGATCCCTGCGGAAGACATCAGCGGTCTGGAGTTTTGTAAATATTTCAGCACCATCATAAAACAAAGTATCTTTTTCAGTTCCGATCAATCGACTTCTCCTCATAAACTGACGTGACAAGCAACGAAAACAAGCGGGAATGGAATTTGTGAGTAACATCGAGAATACAGTTTCCTTCGAGGAGCTAACCGCTTGGAAAGGAAAGGAAAACCATTCGCTCTCACGTATTTGCATAGTGCATGCAAGCTGTGGACATTTGAATGCTGGCTGGAAGAAAATCATACTAAGCCTTCCAAAAATAGCTTGCAAAAATTTTCTATTAATGTAACAGCTGATTCCTGTAAGTCAGTCACAATCGGAAGTCTCTCCGGTTTTCATGAAGACAAGTGTCAACTGAAACGGGATTCACAGGACTGATGTTCCTTCCCGATGTTGGTGGGATAAAGGATAAATAAAAGGAACAAGCTCTTGGCTATGACCAATCCCTGTCGAATGTGCCATGCATTCAGCTTCATTAAGAGTCGTTTGGAGGTGACTTAAATTCATATCTGGCCTTTACAATGACTCGCGGTGGTCTACCGATGTATCGAGCCAGTGCTGCTATCCTTCCAGACAAGTCTAGTACTAATTTACCGACCCCGGAGGGATGGAAGGCTTGGTGGGCCAGCGGTGCAGGGATCGATTCCGCGAGTGTGCTGCAGGGCGCCTCCGACCACTGCGCCACACGCGCCCATTTGTTGGTGTGATGTAGAGGAAATCTTGTGCTTATGAAGCAATGCCACCTAGCATCACCGCGACCATCCTCGTCCACATTTGAACAACACAAACAGAAATACTCCATTTCTACAGGACGACGTTCCCACAAGCATAGTGAAGACAAGGCGGTAGTGCAGTTACGAAGCGTATTACAGTTAAAAAGGTAGAACATTAACCAAACTAAGCCTAAAACATCAAGTCGTTCCGGTCTTCATTAAACGAAACGACTTTACGAGATATGCCGTCAACCAGAAGAGAGCCAACGAGTACGAGGCATCGAGATGAGACTACTTCGAGCTGCACTACGAAGCAAGCAGAACGAGATGTCTGCCAGAATAAAGAAGTGTGGGACGAAGGAACATTTTTGTGCTTTGTATTTGGAGGATCGTCTTTGGACGAGAATAGTTCGCTCTGAAGAATGCGAAATCCGCCGTTACGTCGGCTTTAACGGGGTAGAGAATAAAGTAGCGGCTCCTGCATGTTCAGCAAGAATATCGAGAACTATCATCCAAACCTTTCTCTTTCGTTAGGTTTCTTGCTGTCAATCTCAGGCTAGTAAAAATTTAATAATATGCGATACATAGCTCTCGCGATCAATTAGAACTCAAAGCAACACCTAGCTTCTTCGTTAAGAAGTAGAAGAATCCCGAATAAATGGATCAACCAACTGCCAATGTGTCGTCACAACTACGTCTTTGATTCCCAGAAAAGACTTTCTGTTAATAACTTCGGCATTGTTCAGTAAGTCAGTGTTTTATTCTTGAGCAGATACGATCTTGTCAATAGCAAGCTCAACACAACACTGGCTTACGTCGCTTCAGTATATTCGCTTTCTCAAGAGCCCGGAAAGGACCAATTGATATGCACTTAGCTAAACGCTTTCATAACCTCAGCTGATGAAACTTAATACACTGATTTCACCTGCACGATGTACAGCTTTTTTAAACATTCACCGTTTTGTTCTTTATACACCTTTCTGTTAACGCTGTTCTTCCAGTTCATGTTGGAGAGCAGCCGCGAAGAGCTATACTTTTGTGAGGAATGTGCCTAACTCAGGTCTAAAATTCAAACTGAGGTATGTTGCGAGGTATTGCGTGATCACAAGGCATCCTTCATGCATTTCATTCTGAATTTTTGAAATCTGTCCAAAACACCTCAAAACTTACACGTTAATGGTTTGGATTCCTGTTCAAAGGTACTGTCTTTCCCTTCAAACCCTTCTTCGAACTGTTGGAGACTGTCCGTGTGTTCAATCCGCTATGATTGGAATCCATAATCTTCTTGAGAGACGCCAAACGACAGAACTTACAAAGACGACGTCGGCCGAGTGATGAATAGAATCCCGACATGACGAGAAGCCGAAGCTGTCTAGCCATTGCTCCTTCCGAGTTCCATTGTGCTTCTCTGGGATCAGCTATTTGTACCACGAAACTTAACGTATAGTGCAAAACTAGGATAAATTGAACGAAGGTAGTATTTTTTTTGTTGGCTGCGGCAGGTGCATCAGATTCTCTGAGAAGATGTAAGGCTATTGTTAAAATATGTATTCTGTGGTTGTCATCGTTGTTTACAATAAAACAGATTGAGGATTCTTTTGCATTGATTTGATAGTGAATTGATATCACTCTAAATAAGCTTCACAGCTATTACCTCTCATCCCGTCAATTACTGAGTAAGCAAAGGTGTCTCGACTTTGGTTGCAACCGTTCAGTTATAGTTCAGCCTTGAATCGCATTAAATTGCAGTAGATTCTTCATAAGATTCTCAATTTTGGTAATACACCTTCGCGAAAGAAAGGATATGGTGGCGATACGAATGTTATAGTCACTTACGTTTGTTCTTAGGTAGTAGCATTTTGACAGTTCTAGAAGAATGACGGTAATTCCCGTCGTCAGATTTTTTTGCCACGGTCATGAAGCGGAACAAACAGTGGATTTTAAGCTGAAAATCCATGAGACATCTCGGAAGCGGTCCGTGAACGTAGTAGTGCACTAAGACATCTGAGCGCTGAGTCTAAGGAAAGTTCTTCTTGTCTGATATACAACTGCTTAGCACATAACAGACTGTGTATGTGAACGCGTACGTCCACATACTGCTATCCCCATACACCGATATGACCTCCATTTCAATCATTCCCTACTCCCTTCTAAAGGTATACCGGTATCCCCATCAATTGAACTGTGCCAACGACAACGTTGTTCTTTCTAGAATTTGCATGGAATGTACTTAAATCAAGATAACCCAAATCCACGTAGATACTTTAGAAATCCGCAAAATGGAAGCAAGCAACTTCTTTTTTTTCCCGGATTTTGACCCTCATTTCCACACCTGTATCACATTCGTCACAACGCCTATGTGTAATGGCAAACTAGAACTCTCACAACTCTTCGCCGAGCACAGCTCAAATTAAGCTTATGGTTTACGGTTCGTTATCCCCTCACCAAGAAAGAACACGCCCATGGTGTTGTTTACCACCTTATAATTAGGTCTTCCAAAGCATTTTTCCCATTTCCGTCTTTACACTTTACCTTTCTTCTGCCCATCTATTCACTTCTCCATCGATCCGGAACACTTATAGCACTTCTGCAACAAAGAGTAAGACTCGCCCACCGTTGGCATTGTCGTCCATAGGGCCGACAGACACAGCATCCAAAATGAAGGCCCTCATATGCGCACTGGAATCGTTGTATCTTACCGCGAAGATTTCCACTGGACGTTGTATAATTTAAGCATCTTATCCACCCTCTGGCATATGATGTGTTATCACAACACATAAATACTACACTGTAGATGACCACTATTCAGGCAACTCCACCTTCACCGACAATGGTCAGTCCTACATAAAATTATGAAAAACCCGCCACTTTGTTTATGCCGGACTTGATTTTCGGCTACCTATAATATCTACTATTGCACTGCTAACAGACAACGCAAACATTGTGTATTGGGTAACAACACAAGCAAATATGGGCGAAGCATCAAAGCAGGCTTTCATTCCTCTTCAGCATAAACCTCCTCACCACCTTCCGCATCAAGATCGCCCATATCGTCAGCCGTAGCTTCCTGAACAAAATGAGTGAGATTATGATGGGTTTTCTTTTTCAATATGCAAACAATTTGATCACGTAGATTGGTCCTATATCCGCAGTGTCACCCTGTGGTTTAAGATCAATAAGTTAATCAACAGCAACATTTGTATATAAATGTAAGATGAAGACAGATTACTAACCTGGTATTGTTGGTACTCCGAAATGAGGTCGTTCATGTTCGACTCCGCTTCCGTGAATTCCATTTCGTCCATTCCCTCACCTGTATACCAATGCAGGAAAGCTTTGCGCCGGAACATAGCTGAAATGGCAAAGTTTTGAGAAGTCACGGATCTAAATATTACTCATGGTAGAATTAACCAGTGAATTGTTCCGAAATTCTTTTGAATAGCTCTTGAATGGCGGTAGAATTTCCAACAAAAGTAGCAGCCATTTTAAGTCCTCTGGGCGGAATATCGCACACAGCCGTCTTCACGTTGTTTGGAATCCATTCCACAAAGTATGATGAGTTCTTGTTTTGCACAGACATCATTTGGTCATCCACTTCCTGAACCATGTTCAGAAGTAAAAATACTTGAAAAATCGTACAGACGACTTCCTTTTTCTTTTTTTTTTCTCAGCTTTAATGAAGAATGCTGTTATTAAACAAAAGCTCAATGTAAAGGTTTCCGCATGACAATGTCATGTGGTGATAACTAGAAGATAAACATTGTGGTCACAAAATAGTAACTTTGAATGACGAATGATTATGTATGTTTGGTAAAAACCACCATTTATACCAATTTTTTAACCAGTAACAATTCCTAACCTCTATACGTAAAGAAATTATCTATACTAATTTTACACGTTAGTACGTCGAAGACGGTGTTATTCCTCGACAACTGCCAGTAATTCCTTGATAAATCGAGAAATTGGGATGTTAGAACTGGGGAAACATTTGAAAGATTCCTTTTTTCCGTTGTTCTACGCTTTGTGTACAACCGCAATGTAGTTTAATTCCAATTCCTTAAAGTTAGAACTACAAAGGATTAAAGCATTATTAAATTACAAAATTCTACTCCACTCTACTAGACATAACAGCACGCATAGCATACGTTGATGACACATTCGCAAACACCACTCTTTCCGTGGACGAGACTCCGCTTTACCAACCTACCTCTCCGCTGTTCAACAAACGAACGTCGAAGAAAACATATTGCAGAACATGTAAACTTGTGGTAAAAAAGTGGTAAAAATGTAAAGATTTTGTTAAAACCTTGAAATGTTCTCATAAATACGGATATTCTCAGAGAAATTTACAAATTCATGCATATTTGACCGCTACAATTGTTTTTTATCTTTAAAACATATTCTCTGAACTACTCTAGAATTCATCGCAAACCGTAATTTTAGGACACAAAAACTAAGAAACAAAGTCTATACATCACCAGCCAAAACTTTACATATTTCAATAAATTTGCAACACAGTGCGAAAATAATGGTCCCTTTCACGTTCAAACCAAAATATCTTAGCTCAAAGCGAGTTTTTAAACCATTTGAAATTGAAACCAATACGATCTTCGAATCCAGAAAGACACAATTTCCCCATTCTATCGGGAAGACCTTGATTTTTTGGAAACCAGAAAATCACGACTGTTTTTTTTACATAACTCGTATTTCGTACACCAAAACAACTGAATAAGTAGAAATCCATCCAGTAAAATACAATGGTGTTCTCCAATATACCACTGGTGTTTGCACCTTCCGCAATGACCCGGATTTTCGAAAATTAAAATCCTTTCTCCAAAATACTGAAAACCTTACATACAATTATGCGTCACATATACAAGGCGATAGGGTTAAGTCTATTCTAAAAACCTACGAAGTTTTCAATAGCTCACCAACTCCACTGACCGAAAAATTACCTTTAGGTGTCGAAAAACGGTCTTTGTTTCCAATACGTTAATCAACAAGCTTATGAGAGAACCAATACGCGTAAAATACGTCTTGACATAAATGAGCGCAGAGGATATGTTCAATGATCCGTGGAAAATAGGTATAGAACACCTATGAACCTCACCCTCATGCTCATTCGTCCTCGGAACATAGCTGCTACAGTGAGGTAACGTCCATGGCGAGGATCGCAAGCAGCCATCATATTCTTGGCGTCGAACATCTGGTTAAAAAGAAAACTAGGAGAATCCTAGTTGAAAATCAAAACCTGGTAAAAGAAAACGTACTTGCTGCGTAAGCTCAGCAACTGTAAGCGCCCGATAGGCTTGAGCATCCTTTGCAGAAAGAGGTGCAAACCCAGGCATAAAGAAGTGGAGACGTGGGAAGGGCACCATGTTCACTGCCAACTTACGAAGATCAGCATTTAACTGACCGGGAAAGCGTAGGCAGGTGGTGACACCAGACATTGTCACAGATACTAAAACATAGTTCAATTTGAACGATACAAAGGTATTAGAACGAGAGGCCAACGAACCGAGGTGGTTCAGATCTCCATACGTTGGATTTGTGAGCTTCAAAGTACGGAAACAAATGTCGTACAGAGCTTCATTGTCGATGCAGAATGTCTCGTCAGTATTTTCCACCAGCTGGTGAACGGATAGTGTAGCATTGTATGGCTCAACCACAGTATCGGAAACCTAGAAAAAATATTTTAGAAAATGAAGAACCGCTTTTCACCTTTCCAGTAAGAAGGGTCTTAGAAATGCAATTAAAGAAGTACTTCGTTTACTGTGTGTCTCCATGCAATGACACCTGATTGATCCATTCCAAACGTTCAAACAGCTTAGGACGAATTAGTTTTACCACAAAATTAATTCCCACAAGTATCTCAACACATTTCATATGGTTTTTTTAACACTGAATCCTACAATGATGGGAAGAAATATAAGCTGACGAAAGTACGTTGCTATACGGGTCTGAATCAACAAATAGATGAGGACACCCCACAGACGTTATTTTTTTGCAACAATTCACCTTAGGTGAGGGAACAACGGAAAACGACGACATAATTCTATCAGGATACTCTTCACGGATTTTTGCAATCAGCAAAGTCCCCATACCGGAACCGGTGCCTCCTCCAAGAGAATGTGTAAGTTGAAATCCCTAAATCATTAACAGATAAAAACATACAACTGAAAATTAACGGTGAAATACCCACCTGTAAACAGTCACATCCTTCTGCCTCTTTACGAACAACATCAAGTACGCTGTCAACAAGTTCAGCACCTTCCGTGTAGTGTCCTTTTGCCCAATTATTACCGGCTCCTGACTGGCCAAAAACATAGTTATCCGGTCGAAATAGTTGACCATAGGGCCCAGAGCGAACGGAATCCATCGTTCCGGGCTCGAGATCGACAAGGACAGCACGGGGAACGTACTTGCCGCCTAAAACTGACCGGTAGATCCACTTCGCAACTCGCATTACGCAACGGGATATGGCGTATTTCAAAACAATAAATTAGTCTAAAGTAAACCTATAAGCCATCTTGGATTATACTCCAAGATATATACCAAAATATTAACCAACTCAGATCGTATACACTATTCTGCAGACGAAAAACTACTCAGATGAACGCACCCGGAACGAGAGCGCGTTTCATGTCAGCGAAATTTGTATTAAACGACACGGTGAACAAAACCACGGTCTCGACCTTTCCTCTCAGCAAGCTCTACAGCTAAGTACCATTTCTGCCCATGGTGGATAATTAGTGGATCTCAACTTACACCTTGCAATCGGAATCTCATGAATGGTTGAAACTGTGCCCGGGCCCGGGCCATTTTCTTAGTTAACCCCTTCCGTAGAGTGCGATTTTGAAAGAAATGAAAATTAGGAAAAGGCAATTCGTCCTCCGTCAATTTCTCCATTGTACACATCCAAGCCAAATTATGGGCAAAATAAAGGTGTGTTATATACCGGAATTAACCATAAAGTATAAATGACCCCATACTGGACATATGTAAAGGTCATAACCTACTTTCAGAAACCGAAATGGGGAAGTTTGCACTCGTTCTACGCAAAACAGTGTCAGGCTTACTGCTCACCGAACGCTTCCACGATAACAAATGATAATTCTACAACGACCAGAAGTGTTAAAAACTTGAAAACTTACACAGGTGATAAAAAAGCTACAAAAATAAGACCTCCGTACCCGCTAAAATTGGGATTTTATGGCGGGAGAAAAACAGAACCTAAATTTCAATAACAAAGATCTGTAGATTCTAATGGTTATATAATTATTTCAATTTTTGATGACAGCTGTTATTTTCGACCAATACAAGTAGAGAACGATTTCCGCCCGACTATGGATGTTTATAAGACGACTTCTTTCTCAATGGTTGGAAGAAAGTGCAGATATTCTTTAGGTCTAACCCTGTTTTGCTGAAACTAGAACACTTCTTAAAAGTGATGCTAGACCAATCAGACAGTGAGTGATCACTAGGGAAACCTCTTGGGGTTGCAGCAGACCAGCACAGCTACTAATATTCCATAACTTATAAATAAAAGGATAAAGCTCTTGATCTTGATCAACACCTGAGGGATGCGTCATGCATTCGGCTTCATTAAGCACCGTTGGATGTGACTGAATACATATCTGGCTCTTACAATGACTCGCGGTGGCCTACCGATGTATCGAGCCAGTGCTACTATCTTCCCAGACAAATCTGGTACCAATTTACCGACCCCGGAGGGATGAAAGGCTTGGTGGGCCATGGGCGCGGGAATCGATTCTACGTGTGTGTCGAAGGACGTTTCCAAGCACTGCGGCCCAAGTGCCCTCCATGACAACTTATGGTCCTGTATTATTGCTGAGCTGATAAATGACTCATGGAAAAAACCGTTAACATACCATGTGCTTCGTTGTAGTAGACGTTAATTCTTTCCAACTGTAAATCAGATTCGCCACTATATGTACCATCGGGTTTTATGCCATGTTCATCGGAGATAACTTCCCAAAACTGAAACTTGCGCCATTATTTATTTTGCAAGAACCATTGAAGCTTTAATCTCCACGACATCATGATTTCTAAAGATAGGGAGCGTCAATGGGAACATGTGGTGCGGTAACTACATAGCTGACTCATCTCTACCATAAACTTAGCCCCACCTAATTATTGATCTATATTTGCAAAAAATAGCACTGATCAGTTGAACTGGATGAATCCTTTGTGGTACAAGTAGTCTTAATAAGAAAACCAACACCCTTACCTTTGAACCGATCTGATTTCCACACTGACCAGCCTGAACGTGGACAATTTCACGCATGGTTAAAGTAGACAAGCTCTGAAACGAATACGGATAGGTAGAGGAGGTGACCGGAAACACTAGGACAACCCAACCAGACCAAGAACGTGAAGAGGAATGACTGGAGGATAGCAGAAATCGGGTCGCCGTCAATACGATACCGTACCACCACTTCTTGCGAATCTAGGTTCGTCTCAGGACCCTTTGACGTCACGTCGATGTCGACAGGAAGCAGTAAAGCGAACGACGGTGGTTCTATTTCTCCCACGAGATGGCAAAAGGCATGGAATAACCAGCTGTTTGAGTCGGTGGAACGTTGCTGAATATCGAATTGGGATTTCCTCTACATGGTCCGTCGTCGCATCCGCCTTGCGGATCTCAGCACTTCATGCATTCCATGTAATATTTTGTGTGCTGATACGACTACCGCTTGCGCACTTCGTCTTCGCTACGAATGTCGTAGAATGCCGGTCGAGTCGATTCTCTTTACAATCTTGGGGACAACCTAGCTAGTGCATTCCTACGTGGATTGGAGGAGGGCATTGGGAGTGGGTGGGACCAATATCTTGCTTCCTGTGGACTGTACATTAACCACTAGGCTGCTCCCTCCCCCACCCCTTCCCGCTTACCTCCATAATCCTGGAGAGAAAAGAAAATGTTTTAAGTAGGCACTAATAAAATTTGAGTGCATGAATAGAAAAGGATAAAGCTCTTAGCTAGGGAGATGAAGGGAAGCTGGCTAATGAAAATAAAAGATAGAGCATCCCTAAGGGATACGCCACGGATTCGACTTCATCAAGCATCCTTGGAGATGACTGAATGCATATCTGGCCTATACAATGACTCGCGGTGGTTCAACTGTGTATCGAACCAGTACTGCTACCCTCCGAGGCAAGTTTGGTACCAATTTGCGGAACTTGGAGGGATGAAGGGTTCGGTGAGCCTGGAGCGCGGGATCGAACCCATGTGTTATTGCAGGATACTTCCGACCACTGGGCTATACGAGCCCCTTTTAGTGATACTTACTTGATACTTGAATGGCCCCTCCCTACTGGTTGTGTGGGCTTCAGCATAATCTCCATTTTTCGGAGATTTGCTGGTTAAGACATTATGGTTCCCTGGGGTCCCGAGGTCAGCCTGGCCAAAGTCTGCCCCAGGTAGTCACCACAGGCAGTCGCCGCCCTTGTGGATCAGAAGGGGATTTGCCACCATGCGACTTTGATACGGTGGGGAACCTGGTATTGGTTTACTCCTAGCTAGACTTCCTAATGGAAACGCCGGACTCCTTCTCAGCTTGGGAGACCCTGCCATGGGGACGAATCCCCCCGCTGTACATCGCAGCACGACACCCAGGAACACCTCCCATCCACGATGAGGCGGTAAACCGTTGGAAGGACCTCTTAGTGAAGTACACGAAATCCTTGCTTTTCTCTAATAGATGGTGGATAAGGTTTAAAACCTACAAGAGTCTAAACTAAAAGGCTTCAAGGTGTGCTTGGAGACGACCGCAGACAGCTCCATGAACGCTGCATGGCGTCGAGCAGCGCAACGAATTCGCATTCGAGCAGTTTATAGCTCCTGCCATGGTGGGACCGTCTTTATCCAAGGAATTCATCCTTTTTCATAATCAAGAATTCGGTCGGTGCTGTCTTCCTTCTTTTTTCTTTTGAATGGAATGTCTGGAAAACGAAGATTTTTGCCTTACTTCTATGTTTATGCATTTCTTCTAAATTAAGGGGAAGGATTTCATATGTATGTTACAGTTTTATTTTGCAACCTCGTTGGTGAAATACTTACTCACATACTCAGTTGGCCCGTCCTCAATGGTTGTGCGAGCCCTAGCATATTCTCGATTTTTTGAAGTTCGGCTGATTTAACCATTGTGGCTCCCTGGAGTCCAGAGGTCAATCTGGCCAAAGTCTGCCCCAGGTCTTCACCACCACAAGCAGTCGAAGCTCTTGTGGATCAGAGGGAAGTTTGGCACCATGCGACCATTTTTATACCAGGATGGTGGTGGACCCTGGTGCCAATTTACTCTTAGCTGAGCTTCCTGATAGAAACGCCGGACTTCTTCGCACCGTGGGAGACCCTACTTAGGGATGAATCCGTCCGCTTTGCATCGCAGCCCAACACCCTGGAACACCTCCTAGCCACGATCTGGCTTAAGCCGTTGGGACGCGTTGGTGGAATAGAAGGAATAACTGCGTTGTTTGAGCTGAACGTTTAGAGAGGTGATCTTTAAAACCTAATACGTCCAATTCGTTTTTTCCCGAACCTTGTTCGTTATTTTCCTTTTATATTTAGGGCAGTTGTTAGGATTTAGAGAATAAAAGATTGGGTACATGTCTTTCCTAATGTTTAAGGATACTCTTTCTTCCTCAAGTTCTTCATTTGGAGAGAAAATCTAACTTGGGCTAGCCAAATGTGCTCTTGGGCAGCAAAATCTTTTTTCTTTGAAGAAAGAGTGATGAACCAATTATTTGAAAGTTCCTTTGAAGTAGATAATAAATTATGAAGATCGAAGCATGGTCCTGTATCCTGTGCACGGTGTGATGGTCCTTTCTAAAATCGACTATTTCTCGTTCGGTAGCTACTAGTGCTACCCCTCGATCCTTTGTACCCACGGAGTTTGCTGCACCAAATTTCCTTACCTTTAAGAGAGTTGCTGTGCTTCTTTTTAGAATTCTGTTACATGCCAACACCTTCAGTGAATTCTTCGCTATCCAAGGGTTTGGAAAGACGTCAAGAGGTGAGTAGTATGGTTAGTGAGGAAGGAAGAACAGAGAGAAAATCATGCCACTTGATGGACCATGTGAAAAACAACAAACTTAAAGTCTAACCGTAAGAACTGGATGCGTTTTTTCTTCAGTCCTGGTTTGTACATAAGGCTTTTCCGCAAGTAAGTTATCTTGTTAGTAGAAAGTATAGGCAACCATATTAATGCTGAGATATTAGCGAAACTCCTGACCGCTGGTGCCTGCGATGGGGAGCGAACACCACCACATCATGCGTTCCATATAGACGATAGCATGGTTTAGAAAGCATTTATTTTCTCGCAAAGTAGTTTTACGTCTTACTGTATTTATCGCTTTTCATCTCAGTTTAGAGAATGACTACACAGAAAGCCAGCATAGAGAAAGGCGAAGCGAAGAACCCGCTCGGTGTGGTGGTGAACGCGTCCTCATCTCCTCCACAGACACTTGCTGTCCGGAGTTTTGTAATTATGTCAGCATCATTGTGGTTTTAATAAGGTTTAAAATTTTCATAGAGGTTTGAAATCTTCGTTAGAGGGTGTGCAACCCTTGTTGAGTTATTACTATGAGGATGAACAGTTACAAATTGTTCATTTTTTAAGTAACTTACGTATTAGAAATATTTCGAAAGGTATCAATCACATTTAGCATAGCCCTGCACACTCACCGCTTTCTATGAGTATTAGACCCATAAGGACCGACATGAGTCATATATGATTCGTAAGAACATATGCGTTGTCGTGAAAATTGTAGTCAGCAGTAAATGAAAAAGTTAAAGTAATGACAACAGCGCTTTCAGTTAACAGCAGATCAGGTATTCCTGCTTTATCGGAAAGGAGTTACTGAACAACGAAAGGGTAACTTTTCCCTTGCACTGCACTGCCTTCAGCCTTTGATTCCGTTCTTCTGCAACACTCCTCTGATATGGCTCAGGATTATAGAAATTGGTATTCGACTTCTGTATTATAGAGTGGGTTCGTTAACTTGTCATGTGACTTACACGTAGGCTTTTCTTCCGACTTTCTTATAGCTCAACACTGCCACTGTTTGAATACACTGAAACGCGGATTCTGTAACAATTTGGTGTTTTTAAAGGACAATATAAACGAGGGTAGAATACTGGATATTTATGGATCCGGTAGAACCCGAAGAGTAGTCCTCGCTCCAAAGAGATCTAGCTCTTCTGGTTGTCCATCATCGGCATTTTATGCTCAGTGAGTATGATGTTATCGTGCTGTTGCCACGTTCCTGTCTCTTCTACACTGTTTTATAGGATAGCCGACCAAGCGGGCATAACTGAGGACTATCTGGAGAGTATCTCTGGAGTACTTCTGTCTCTCACACGCAAAACCGTAGATAAGAAACTGCGGATAAGCAGCTTATCTCTCGCTGCTTATGTTGCGTTGAAGATGGGACGTTACCAGTGGGTTTAATCGTCTCTTAATGTCAAGAACTTTTATGCTTTGTTACCGTATTATTGCACTTGTCGCGTTCCATTAAAGGGAAGCTCTTGATGTTCAGAATACTCTTCTTCTTACGCTCCGTGATTTCACTTGAAAGAGAGATTTCGGAGGACTGGTGTCTTTCCGGTTACGAAAGTGAAATAGAACTGATGGAAAACTCAACTTACATTGTGATCGTAACCACTTCGCTAATTTTCCTTACAACCGAATGCCCTTCTTCACGCTTATATTTCACATAATACTCTGCCATCGAAAAGAATAGGCAGTAAATAGAATTTCACGATGTTGGGGTTTATACCACAACTTCAGCATAACTGGATTCAATGCTGAATTGTACTCCCCAGATCAATTCCATAGATGGGTGATTGCTGATAGAAGCTATAGATTGAAACAGGGTTGAGAGGAAGGCGAAACAAAGAACTCGCATGGTGTGATGGTGAACGTGTTTGCTCCTCGAAAGGATAATAGCGTGTTCAGTCCCCACCACGCGGGCACCAGCTTTTGCCAACTCTTAGCATCATTATGGTTAATACTCTTCATCCGTAATTGTCGTATCACTAAGACTGTTTACATTGTTGAACGTTGATGGATTTACTCAATTCCTCCTTGAGCTTTTCAGTTATGCAGCAGACCTGGCGCATAGGATGCTGGATGAAGAAGAGTCAGTGGGTGACTGTAGCATGACAGCTTCAATGTACTTGGTGAGTGTTTTATATAAACACATTTTCCTTTAGACAACCTTGTTGCAATTATCTCGTTTCAGCAGTTAATGTTTCTGCTTTAACTAGAAAAGCCTTTTTGCCAAGAGCGTTATAAACAGTGCAATTTTGAAGTCAAAGGTGGAGTGTGCGATCGATTCGGTTTCATAGGTGCAATTCCGTAACAACTTAACATCTGGTGCATGCGTTGAGTTGTCTAATGTAGACTGCTAAATATTTGCTAAGAATACTTAGGTGGCCCGTCTTCGCTGGTTGTGTGGTCCACAGCATGATTTCTATTTTTTTGTAGCTTTGCTGTTTTAGCCTCTGTGTTTCCCTGGAGTCCCGAGGTCAGCCTAGCCAAAGCCTGCTCCAGGTCGTAACTACCACACGCAGTCGCTGTCCTTGTGGATCAGAGGGAGATTTGCCGCCATGCGATTAGTTTGATACTAGAACGGTGGTGGATCCTTGCATTGATGTACTCTTAGCTACGAAATAGATGTCGTAATTCCTAATGGAAACGCCGGACTCAACTTGAGAGGCCGTACTGGGGGATAAACTCCCAGCTGTACATCACAGTCCTGCACCGCGGCCATTGGCTCTTCATTTATTTTGCTTCGTACGTTTTCCTCCTCCGAATCTCCGAACTCGAACTAGCGCCTTTACTATTGAAATTATTCGACTAACGTTGGAAGCCTTCGTCCTTCTCATAGCCCTCGATCCGAGTCCATGTCCACACTCCTTCGTAATTTCAAAGATCCGACTCAGTACGACGACGAAGATACCACATCGAGAATTAATACCCGTGCAGGATGAATTGTTTTTCAAGCCATTCGTGCATCTAGTTGTTAATTACAGAAAATTCAGCAACAAAAAAGTTGTCAAGTAATTGTATGAGCCCTTCATTTTGGTGAGAATGTACCAAGATTCTCACGACCGACTTTCTGTTAATCTCGGCATTTGACCAAATAATTCTTATATTCTTGTTGAGCAAACACCAGGTGTTATTTATTCCTTATTCACTAACAAGCTGACGTTTCGGCGGATTTTGTCTTTCTGAGAGCACGCAAATGTCAATTACCAAGATTGCTTGCTGGGCTCTGCTGAAATTGACGTAAGGCCTGCGTATTGGTGGTGATCCAATCCAGCTTTAAGTGAAGAGAGGAACACGGTCCAGTGACATGCGATTGCACCTAACATGTGTGCATGATGATAGCTGTCTGTGCGAAGGTTGTAGGTACAGTAGGGTGTAGGGCTTATATCGAAACTAATATATTAGTTTGACAACATCTGAGAAGAAGTACATGGTCACTTTTCATCCGAATTTAAACGGCTGTCGTTCACATGAGAGTGCGCTACGTAGTCTACTGACATACTGAACTTTTTCACGATGTTATTACTTCACTATTCATGTTTTCAACCATCATATACAAATTGTTTTGCAGATGGAATGCATGGTGTCAACCGGTCCGTTCGATATTGCTTTGAAAGTTATGAACGTAGATAGGACCGAGAGACGGATTGGCGAATGTGGGTCCTACCCAATATGGGCAGTTATCAATCGGTGCATAGTTTTATGTGCTAATCGAAAGTATGGAGAAGCCGAAGAGTTGTATAAGGTAAGTATACAGTCTCTGCGATGTAGACTACAGCAATATTTACTTCTCTTTCTTCTGACTATTTATGTTATCTCTATAAAATTTTAGGAAATCAAGTCGTCTACTTCGTCTAACGAACTTTATAAAAGGAGTGTGCTTGCGCTAGGTATCTTCATCTATTCAAAGTTGAATCGTTCACCGGATGCCTTCCGATTAATTGATGAATTGCGCAAAGTTCAAGATATTGAAGATGAACAAACTGTGGATGAGGTATTTTCTTGTATATTAGTTTCTGAATTTCTTCGAAATCATCCTATCTTTTTAGGATAGCCGTTCAAACATGGCAGAAGATCCCATAAGAATCTTGGCTTTCATAGAGGCTGAGAAAAAGTTGTCATTATCTCGAAGCTGATTTTTCTTAGGTTTTTTCGTGCTGGTAAGAGCATGGGCCATTCCATGTTTGTTCATACTGGTATTATTGCCTCATATTATCTCTAATATATATTTTGTGTTTGTTTTATGTTTTCTACTAGGGGTGAGTTTCCTACCGCCTCATAGCATTTTTCATTCCTTCATTGTGATCAGGATATTTACCAACTCAGTCATGTATGTTCACCTCTCTTTACAGTTCCATTATTGACGGGTTAGTTTCAGCTTTCGTGGTTTTTGAAAAAAAGTGTCTTCAGGTGTTTTTTTTTATAAAATTTTGTGGGTTGTGCGTACATGCAATATGTATGTGGTCCTGTACTATGTCACTTAATTACAATTTTTATGAAAGTTGACATGTTTTGCCTTGTTGTTTACAAGTGCGCAGATGGTCTTACTCCTATATCTGATGGCAATTTTGGTTGTTTTCTAGACTTATTCCATTATGTTAATGAGTGTTGTGGTGAGGTGTTTACTTAATTACTTGGATCGCGCTTTCTTACTGGTCGCGCGGCCCCCACCATAATCTTCATTTTTTCGGAGTTTTCCCGGTTTAGCCATTGTGGTTTCCTGCAATCCCGAGGTCAGTCTAGCCAAAGTCTGCCCCAGATCGTCATCACCACAGGTAATCGCCGCCCTTGTGGATCAGAAAGAGATTCGTCACAATGCGACTAGTTTGGTACCAGGACGGTGGTGGATCCTGGTATTGGTTTATTCTTAGCTGGACTTCCTGACGGCAACGTCGGACTCAGATTGGGAGGCTCTGCCGGGGGAATGAATCTCCCCGCTGTACGTCGCAGTCCGACACCCAGGAACACCTCCCATCCACGATGAGGCGGTAAACCGTGGAAGACGAGGTGTTTAGTTAGTACAATTCACGGGATAATTTTCATCCCGAAGTTTATATTTGGGGGACTGGTGGAAGTTTGATCTTATTGTCTATTCTTTTCCTCCATTCCAGTGTCTTGAATGTAATGCTTTCTGCACTACGACAGCACTACCGAGCGAAGTTCTATCGCCATTGCAGCACGTTGGTTTCTGCTTTTTTTTTTTTTGCAAAACCACCTTATTTGATGTCCGAAGTAATTAGTTTTCCAGAAAGTTTACTACATCCGCTGATGTTGTCATTTGTGGCGGGGGTATCTCTGGAACATCGGTCGCATATCACCTTGCTAAAAGAGGGAAGCGTGTTTGTTTATTCGAAAGAGATGCGTGAGTATTTTTTTCAATCGCAGAGTTTTATTTATTTCCTTATTTATTTTTCCTTCAAAGCAATTCGTACATTAGGATTGGACGCGGTGGAGCAACTGGTGTTAGCGGTGGTCTTGTGTCAGCACCCGTTTTCTGGCAGGACCCTGCTTGTCAGCATCTTGCTCACAGATCTTTACATATGTATACGAAACTTGCCCAAGATGGAAAATTTAGTGAGATCATTACTTATTCATGATTTTTAGAAGTAGTGGTAACAATTCAAAATTGTAAATAGAATTTGAGGTCAGAGCCCTTATGAAAGCATGCGTGTTGCAGGGTTTACAAGATGTGGTCGTGTTTATCTGGCTACGTCCAAGCCAAGTGAGATAATACTGAGAAGGATGTATTCACGTGGTGACCATTTTAGTTCCAGTAGCATCGCTTTTATCTTACAGTTTCTTAATTTGATGTGGTTAAGGGGTTATACACAATAACGAGATTGAACTCATTGATTGCCCAAGTGAAATGTTGGCGCGATGGCCCTTCTTACAAACGGAAGATATTCAGGTTTTCTACTGGTTTTAATCTTAGAGCTTAAATTCTTTTTGAAGTTCCTAGGTTTTTAGTTAGCATTATTCTCTCCGGAAGACGTAGCACTGGACCCTGTAGCACTTTGCCAAGAGCTGGCTCAGCAGGCTCAACAAGCTGGTACGAATTTCAAAATTCCTGCATTAATTTATGTGAATTAGCTGTAAACTGGAGAAAGTCCATCTCAGGTTTTTATCTAAGGAATAAGTATCGAAAGAAAACGCCATCGGCGCTCAAAGGTGCTTAGTTTATTCAAAGGACGCGGTTGTGCATGTCACTAGTGATGATAATCATCGAAATGGCTTTAATCTTTTGAAGATTCGCTAAAGCAGCATGACCATCTTTTTCCGGTTTTTTTTTTAATGATATAATAGATGTGCTCTTGTTTAGTCGTGCAAATTTGATTCTGCCGACTGACGTTCGTGAGTTTTTAAACGTTCTATGTACCCTTATGAACTGATCTTGTTGACCTGATGCAAGGTTGATATAAGTTGCCGTTGTTGCTGTTGCTATTGCCGTTGTTGTTGTTATTATTACTGTTGTTTGTCGATGGCTGACGTTTCGGCGTTTTCGCCCTCCTCAGAGCCGTGCTATTACGAGTGGGACTCTTCGGGTGGAACGAGAACTTACCAACCTCACATTAGCTCAACAAAGCAGTTCATAAGGGCATTTTAATATACACATCGACCATTTATACCGAGGTTTATGGAAAGTCAGTCCTTTGAGTTCTATGAGCTATAGCGCCATAAAACGGTATTGCTTAGAGTACTGTACAATAGGCTGAAAACGCTCTAACGCAAGCAGATTGTACGAAGGAGCAATGTGCGATCTATGATCGGCCTAACATTTTTTTTATTCAGGTGCTTTAATATACGAGAATTGTGCTGTTGATGAAGTTCTTTTAAATGATGAACGACAGATCTACGCTGTTAATACAACAAATGGACTTGTTGAGACATCGGTTTTTGTTGATGCCAGCGGAATCGTGAGTGTAATTTTTCATTTTATTAAGCCTTGTCTCGTTGATTTGGTTTTCTGCAAGGATCGAAATTGAGCTTTCTGTTTTTAGTGGGCAGGAAGGGTTTTGACAAAGTCTCTACCTTTTCGTCACATTCAAACGGCTGCATATCCTTGCACGTACACTTACATTCACAGTACAAAGCTTCCAACGGGAGCTGTTTCTGATACTACACCTAGTGAGCCATTGACCAATTCTGTGACGCAAAAACCTGATAGGTCATACATTTTATTATATCCACAGTTAGATTCCATCTCAAAATTTTTAATAGTTTTCAACGATCTTGATGGAAAAGTCATGATTCGTGCTACTGGATTCAAAACGCTCTGTGCTGGATTCCCAGAAGATGGTATTCGTCCTGTTCCACGTCAGGGTGCTGCTTATGGTGTCTGGCACCATCCTGAACCAGATTGGGATTTATTTAGTTTGTTTTACTCTTGTCCTTCATAACTAACTACTTCTAGTTATGAAGTCTTGTTGTTTAGGTTCGTCTCTGGAACGACTGCTACACCGATGCCCAGTACTTGGAGAAATCGATCATGGTGATTTAATCTGTGGAATGGAAGCTTATACTCCAGACAATTCACCAACTCTCGGTGAGAGCAGCCAGGTACGTTCCATTAGGTAGTAGCTAAATGATATGTTTAAAGCTCACTCTGGAAGTAATATTCTAAATTGACAACAAAAAAACTTTTCTTAAATATGAAGCCAGGATTATTCCACCAAGTTCATGTAGATGAAATGCCTGAGACACACTCTAGAACTCGCCATACTTTTGTACCTTTCTCGAAGCGATAGCAAAAAGCTGTTCTAGACATTTCAAAGACCATATCAACAATGAACGACGAGAAATTTGTGACTCCAGTTTATTGTAGCTGGATTCACTGTATAGAACAACGACCTAAGGCTTTTTGTAGCCCTTGGTTATGTCTGCAAATAGTTCGTGCATGGTTTATTAAGATGAATGCTAGAGTTTTTGCTACGTGGCGTAGGTGATGCCTGGTGAACATTCTCAATTTAAGGCACGTGGGTACTATGTGGTAAATGGACTCAATGGACAAGGGTTATCATTAGCTGGCGGTCTCGGGGAAATTCTTTCGGACTGGATTTGTGATGGGGTTCCGCAAATTGATGTTGCTCACTTGGACGTTGCTCGGTTTTTAGAAGCTCATGCAAATTCACAGTACCTTATGGAAAGAGTGCCTGAGATTGCAGGTAGAATATTTCTGAATACTGGAGGTTTAAACGATCAAGTGTTAAGTCATAGAGTGTCGTTTCAGCTCTAACATATAGCAACACATACTACACACATCAATGCCATACCGCTCGTAACCTACGTATGTCGCCTATTTATCATCAACTTCGAGATGCCGGCGCAATGTTCGGCGAAATTATGGGGTTATTCTCTTTAAAAATCAGGACTATGCATTAAACATGTTAGGAGCTCAATTGAAATCAATGAGAAACTATGTTCTATTGTGTTTTTATCTTAGGTTTTAACTTTAGACGAGTGAGTTTTCCTTTGAATAACTTCACAAACATCGTTATTTATATAATACTTAATTTTGACAATATGGATGACATTACCTCCCAGCGGTTCATCGCTTTATCGTGGTTGCGAGGTGTTCCTGGGGCTGCCATGTACAGCGGGAGGATTAATCCCATAGAATGCCTCCCATGCTGAGAAGGCGACCGGCGCTTCCACCAGAAAGCCCCGCTTAAAGTAAACCAATACTAGGATCCACCGACGTCCTGGTATCAAACTAGTCGCGTGGTGGCAAATCACCCTCTGATCCACAAGGGAGGCGACTGCCTGTGGTGGTGACGGCCTGGGGCCGAGTTTGGCCAGACTAACCTCGAGACTCCAGGGAAACACAATGGCTAAGCCAGCAAAACTCCGAAAAATGGAGAATATGCTGGGATTCACACGACTAGTGAGGACGGGCCGTTCAAGTATCCAAGGAAGTAATAATGACAGCGATTCTAACAATCTTGCATAGAAAATTATATGGTCTACTGCCTTACAGTAGGTCCAGTGTAATACGGTTAGAATCCTGCTTACTGAAATTGTAGGCTTGTGGCGTTATCATGAGGTGCAAAAAGGTCATGAAACTCAAAGGAACTGAACTTTCCATTCACCGCTTTCAATTTTCCTTCCGTCGAACGTCGATTAATTTGAAGTGGCTGCCGCAAACCATACATTTATCCGTTCTGTGTGTCAGTTGCGAAGTGGGTTTCATTTTTGCGCCCAATGGACTAAGAGCACTATATTTTTTTAAGGGGCCTCGTAAAAGAATGATCATTTATTTAGTAACCTTTCATTATGTGCTTAACATCGGGTTTGACATAGTGGTTAGCACTTCTTCAAAACCGACTTTTTAACCTCGCTATGACTAATCGATACATGTTCTTTGTTTAATATGATGATGCGATGTTGATAAAAAACCTTATTCGGCTAACGTCTCGACGTCTTCGCCTTCCTTAGAGCCGCTCATCCGAGTCGATGTGCACAGTCGTTCGTCCTCTCGATGTGGTGTCTTCGTTATCGCATCGAACCGGATCTTCTTTAGTGAAGCATTACTCGAATGAAGCCTACTCATTCGGCGATGTTCCTTTTACAGGGCGGTTCTTATCGGTAGCGGTGATTATATTTGTTTTTCCTGGACAATACATCTTGTAAAATGCTAACGCATTTGTGTATCAGTTGTGGCTTAGACACCTCACATGTCTGCATAACTGCATTCCGCCTTCTTGACGGTGCCTGAGACATACAAGATAGAAACGGGTGTTAACCCCAAGTATTGTTTTCTTAAAATTCACCATAGAAGATAGGTCACTCATCATTTCGATTTCTTCACCTCAATACACGTGAGGCTCACAAATGGATTTTCTACGAACTCTTCTTTTTCTTGATTTTCAAACGAAGTACGACTTTTTCGCATGGGCTGTTGAATTCGGTAACATTCGCTTTGCTTCAGTAATGGTTGAAGTTAAAGGTACGCTTTATTTAATAAAAACATAATAATTTATTTCGTCACCATCGTCTTTCACTGTGTTATGCCATTCGAATTTTCACGCGAGGTTTTCCATGGCACCGGTGAGCCAGTTTCCCTCTATGATATCAATTTGTTCAACACTTCTTTTCACATCGATAATCATATTCCGTAATGGCGAAGCCTTTCTTGTGAAGCTGATTTATGGCTCCTGAGGACCATTACACAGTGATTTGAGACGCTTTAACTATGTATAGCTACGATGACCGCTTTCCTCTCAACTGGGAATTTTGACTCTATGATACCGGGAAGAATTGAAATCCAATGCTACAGTGATATGATTCCATTGAGTTCAGTATAGTTTATATAAGAACGCGTGTGGTGCAATAGTCGGAGGCGTTCTGCGACATACACATGGGATCGATCCCAGCACCCACGGCCCGCCAAGCCTTCCGTCCTTCCGGTGTCGGCAAACTGGTACAAACTTGTCTGGGAGGATAGCACCACTGAATCGATAGACCACTAGACCACCGCGAGTCATTATAAAGGCCAGGTATGCATCCAGTCATCTCCAAACGATGCTTAATGAAGTCGAATGCATGGCGTATCCTTCAGGGATTGGTCAACACCGGGAGCTTTATCCTTTATCAGTTTATATACTCTGTTTATCCTGACTGTTCTTCGTCCACTGTCACTACTCTTAAGGATGGCTGAAGTGAAGTGTTTAAAGAACACAAAGCAGTCATACTGAATTATAATTGCCGATGTAGTGTTAGTCCGTATTTTTGCAGGACATACTAGATCCTGCTAGTTTTCCAGTAAGTGGGAAACTTGATTTCTGATAAGTGTTTAGATCGGAGCTGTGAAACAGTCGCTTTAATGCCCGAAAGTGATCATCTTGATCTCATAGTTAGCAATGTGCTAAACAGTGTTAGAAATTCTCTTCTCATCTTTGCGTCATTCCTTGGTAATGTTGGTATTTTATCCTTAAAAGTTTCTCCGCTTCTTTGTGAGTTTAGCAAGTTCGGTTTCGCTGCAGCTCGTACAAATCCACTTTACACGAGTAAGTTGCACCAGGACGGAAATTTATGGAAAAAGATGTCATTAGTGCTTGTAGCACTCTTCACTTAGCACTATTGTCAAAGTGTTGGAAGAGACACTTGGATCCTTTAACGATTTTTTCGGTACCAGCTAGTATTTTCCGAGAATCCCATGAAACCAGTGTCTTTTACGGGAGAATACGATATTTCAATTTTTGGATTTTCGTAGTTTCACCGTTCTGCAAAAAAGGAAATTGAGGCGGCATCGATGACTCGAAATTACACAGAACTTTTAGACGGTAAGCATTCTCGTCCATGCTGAAGCTGAGTCGAATACGAAATAGTGAAATCCCTGTCCTATAGTCTTCATCTGTGCTAACGACACGGCACTTTTTGACCCAACGATGCGTCATCGTTTAATTACGAAGCTTAGAACTTGTCTTTTCTCAATAGTATTGTGACATAGATCATATGGAACCAGGAAAATCGCATAGTATGTACTTCATTTGTAGTTATGAACGACCACTATGGTTCGAGAAAAATCCTAAGCCAAATCGAAATGCGCTGTACTGCGGCCAGGATGCCTTAATTGGAAAACCTGTCTGGTTTGACTGGTTAGATTACACTCCCTTAGACGGCTGTTTCAATAGTGAACTTTTGTTATCTTACAGTGTTGCGGCTGAATATGAAGCATGCAGGGAACGCGTAGCCTTGGTCGACATGAGCAGTTTCACGAAATTTGACATAACGGTGAGCTTTCGTTGGTATCATCTGCCATTCGTAATCTTGTTTTTTTAAATAGGGGTCTGACACCGTCAAGTTTTTACAATACCTTTGCTCTGCAAACATCGATAGACCTATTGGGACTACAGTATACACAGGAATGCAGCACGAGCGTGGAGGATACGTCACGGACTGTACTTTGAGTAGACTTTCGGATACTCGGTGTGTTTGCTCGTCCAGCATGAAGTCCTTGAGAATTTTTGGGCGAAGTTCATTATTTCAGCTTTTTTATGATTGCGCCCACAATTCAACAGGAACGCTGTATTTCTTGGATGAAATATTGGTGCAGGAAGATGAATGTGAACGTTCACATCCAGGTGATGCTAGGTTGAAAGTGTAGTTGAAATTTTCGGTGGCCTGCTGTGTTATACTGATTTTAGGCGGTTCATTCATTAGTATTTAGAAAACTTTTTTTGCTCTTTGTTTGGAATAAACAAGAATGAATGACTGCAGACCACGGTCACAGATTTTTCTCGCTTTCTAAAATAATGGTTTACTCGAGCCATAAATCAATTTCCATTTTGAAGCTGGTAATGGAATGCCAACTTCCCTGGCCTCTTCGAACTGAATTCACCAGTTTTAGGATGTAACAGGGATGTATACCGCGTTGGATGTTGTGGGTCCATCTTCACGTTACTTAATGTCGGATATCACCGAAATGTCTATGAGTGCTCAAGATTTTCCGACATTCAACTGCAAAGTATGTTCTCCTTCTGCTATTCTCTCCATGGCGTTTCAAAGCTTTTATTTCAGGAAATAAGCATTGGCATGGCAACGGGTATTCGCGCAATCAGTGTTACCCACTGTGGAGAACTAGGTTGGGTGATATACATTCCAAACGAGGTTCGTTCTACGAAAGAAAATTGTCCCACTATAGCTTTCTTTCGTCTTTTCACAACTAACTTCCCAATTTAGGTGGCTCAAAACGTTTATGAGCGAGTAATTGACGCTGGTAGAGAGTACAGTCTACTTCATGCTGGCTATTATACGCTGCGACAGTTGCGAATCGAGAAATTTTACGTATACTGGGGCCAGGACATTAACGCTACTGTGACTCCTGTGGAATGTGGACGATCATTCCGAGTTGATTTTAAGGTATTACGTTAAAGGCAATCTATGTTGCCATCAACCATTAGTGTTAAGGAAGTTCCAGAAAACTTTGATAATGCGCTAGGTATAGCACGAAGTTTGATCCGGTAAACTCCCCACAATGTAGGTTTTATGGGTTTCTAGTATCAAGTTCTCCTGACTTGTTATGAGCAACAACGGTGTTTCATCACAATATCATTGTTTTCCATCTGGAATGGTAAAATTCAGATGTTTCTTTTACAACCAAATAAGAAGCGTTGCGACATCTTTGCTTGGTTGATCTCATCATATGTTTGATTAATAATCACCTGCTCTTGGTCTACTAGCATTTTTACTCCACACCTAAATTCAATGGAACAAATTTAGTTGGAACTCCGTATTGACTCAAAGATCCAGTTCAAATCTTATTGTGATTACAATGGCTATAAATCTTGACTCCTCTATTACTTCTATATATACATATATATATATATATTCATTGTATACACATTATGTATGTTTTTTTCTAATAGTCGTTATACATTTCAGAAAGACTTTATTGGTAAGGAAACTCTGGAAAAGCAGGTAGAACGAGGGGTTTCAAGAAGATTTGTGCAATTGCTGGTGGACAAGCACAACAGAGACACAGATCCATGGCCTCAGGGAGGAGAACTGGTGTTCAGGTATGCATTGCGTCACTATCCATATAAGTAAATTCAGCAAAGGAGCACAGTTCTCCCAGTGGCTCCATTCTTCTTAGTTCGCAACGAGCTTGGTTTACTTCTTGGTCTTGCTGTTCCACATTCCGGAACAAATGCGTAGTAGTTATTAAAAAACTTATCGTACTTCCAACTTCAGCATTCTGATGTATTGAATGTTTATAGCTTTGTAAATTACACTTGAAATACATCTATCCCATAACGCCCGGCATGCACATCAGTGTTTATACGCGTTCAGGAATATGGACTCTGAAGTTTCTATTTTCAGTTTTGTTCTCTCCAGAATTCTATACCGCATTATGATATTATATTCTTTCGATAGCTGATCGAAATAATGAGGGTGATATCAGAAAACCACGCTTTGTGCTTAATGATTTACACGAAACCTTTTTTTTTTTTCGAAGCATTGATCAGTAATTTAACTAACAACTAATTGTTACTTGATACTTAAATGGCCCCTTCACTGGTTGTGCGGACCCCAGCGTAATTTCCATTTTTCGGAGTTCTGCTGGTTTAACCACTGTGGATACCTGGAGTCCCGAGGTCAGCTTAGCCAAGGTTTACCTCAGGTCGTCACCACCACAGGCAGCCGCCGCCATTGTGGATCGGAGGGAGATTTGTCACCATGCGACTAGTTCGATACCAGGACGGTGGTGGATCCTGCTATTGGTTTACCCTTAGCTGAGCTTCCTGATGGAAACGTCGGACTTCTACTTGGATTGGGAGACCCTGCTGGGGTGATGAATATCACCATTGTACGTCGCAGCCCGACACCCAGGAACACCTCCCAGCCCCGACGAGGCGGTAAACCGCTAAGTGGATGGAAATGTTGAGCTTCGATGGTCCGTTTCTGTCGCATTTCAAAACCGAGGACATCTTCTCAGCACGATGTGATCGTTAACAGTTGGGGAGATTGACGCTGATGAACTATGGCTTCATAATTGAATCCTCACTTTTTATACGTAATAGGAACTACATTTCAATATCCGCACAGCTAGTAGTCATCACTACTCGTTAATGTATGCCAGGACATTGTTTTCATTTAAATTTTTTTTATCACGCAGTTGTTTAACTAGGTGATTTCGGTCTACCTTCCAGTAATTCTGTACCGTTTTATCCTAATCTGACCTGTTAGCAGGGCTGGCTTAGTTCTTAGCGAGATATTCGTTTGGTTCTCATGTGGTTCCGAGCGAAACTTACTTAGTTACAATTCATAAACAATATCTATATCTTTGTTTCCGATCAAGAATCATCAACAGTGTGGCTGCGTGATTGCTTCAACTTCGAACTCATTCTACACTTTTTTGGCTATCCTATCTTGGTTTTATTTCCACACGTATTCTTTGTTGGTGGCACGTTGAGCGCAGTGCTTACAGGGTTCAGACGACACAAACGTATTCTTTGTTTCGATCTCGTCTGGAAAAACCTGGACTTCTGTTCTTCGACAAAATGGAACCAAATTTGAGCAGTAGGCCGAGAGAGACTACTGCATAGGCCAGATGTGCATTTAGTAATCTCTAAGATGCTTGACGACGCTGAATAAATGGCGCATTGCTCAGGGATTGATCAGCATCAACTTCTTTGTGCTTCTCTCTTTCATAGATCGTTGTTGAATTTCACTTTATCACGGGAGAGTTTTTCAGGAATGAAAAGCCTGTCGGTCTGACTACTTCCGCGGCGTACGGTTTCACCCTAGGATGTCAGGTGCATTCATTTCTTCCACTGTCTCCCTTGATTTCACTTGAATGCTACTTTACTTTGTAAATATACTTTTCAGGTATGCATAGCGTACGTGGAGAACCCCGAATTCGGCATCTCTGTCGATTTTTTGAATAAAGGCTCCTACGAAGTGGACATTGCCGGGAAGCGATTCCCTGTTCGAGTGAATCTCCATTCACCTTCTCTACCAATGATCTCTTCCGAACATCCTCTTCATTATCGGCCAACACAATAGTTTACCACTCTCATAGGCAGTCGAAACGATCAATCCATATCCACTTCGTAACCATCTGGAAAATACTGTGCCATACTTAAGTAGCAAGTTCTATATTTAGTTATATTCTATAGCTAGGGAGAACAGTTCAATCTATCTTATCAGTGGCCAATATGATGATTCACAGCTTTAATACATGGCACAAGGTAGGAGTGAGAAACTACAGTGAGATTGTACAGTTACGTGTAGAAATGCATAAAACCTAACAGAAGAATGTGCTCACACAAATGAATTCTCTTGTTTACGGAGAGAACCACTAAGCGAGACGTCACCGATGTACTTACCTGCAGATCCTACACACAAGTTCGATTTCGGGAGGAAACCTCCAAAAACCAGTCGGTTCCTCTGTGTTTTCATAGCCTATAATACTATTTCCTAGGTTTTACTATGCACTTTTTGTCCATCTTAAGTTAATAAGCTCGTCAGGCTGAGGACTAAGAATGCCTCCATTTTTTGCTGTTCCCTCCGAAAATGACTTAACATTTGGAAATGGCAAGAGCCAAAAAATGAATCCAGAAGATCCAAAGAAGAGAAAAGAGAAAAGAAAAGAAAGGAAGAAAAGAGAAAAGATTTTAGAAAAAGAGGGCAGAATAGTACCATACCCGTAGTAATACCGTCTACACATGCTGACATCACCACAGTAAGCTGAAAGGCCCAGCAAGGGGCCGCAGTGCGACCGCGACGCCGCACGCGACGCATCTGGCCGCGCACGTGGGCCGCGCCATCGTCACACGACGCCGCACCTGCTTCTGGCGCGACACTCCGCGATTCACATGGAGGTTGGTTTGAGCTCATTATCTAGTCTGTTTTCATCGAGAGAGGTGCTTATCACTCGGTTGTCATTGTCGAACCGATCAAGTTGTATGAGTTGGTTGGTTACGGACGCTAAGCGAGGGATAAGCGGTTTTGACGTGCGCAGTGAGATGCACTTTCAGAAACCCCCACCGATAGTGGACGGACAGCACATGCAGGCTCTTCATCCGGCCGATCAGCAGTGGGTTGGCTCACATCAGCAGCAGTCACCAGCGCAGCCTGTGCAGGTACGACACTTTGATGCTTCCTCTAGGTCTGATGTAGTACTAACCAGCAAGGCGGTGAAGTCAACGTCGATTTCAAGATGCGAAACTGGAGTAGTTGCGTCGTCACACTAGATATCACTAAAATGACAGAATATCTTAGGGCTGAGCAAATTAGAGTGGTTTCCGTTTCTCACAGTTCTTTTGTTCTTTAGCATCATGGTGGTTCTATGATTACGGACGAGATACGCTTCAGCATAATCGACGCCGTCTATCTGAGACCTGGAATATGGGATTGCCAAAGGTGTTCTCTTTTGCACATGTTTTGTACCAAATTTATCACATTTGTACTTTTAACTCTGTCAGGGAGAAAACTGTTGGTCCATCAAGAAAAGAGCTATTCGCCGAAGTGACGACGCTCATCAACCAACAGAATCAGCTTGATCCTGAGCTCACACGTATGTGGTAGTTCACGATTGTTTCTCCAGGTTTTTCCCACCTTATCGATATCAGTTGTGAGACTGTTTAAGAGGAAACCTTAAGTATCAGAGCTTCACAGTTTTTTGTAGCTTATATGGGAACATTTGTATGGGAGCAAGCCATGAATGTTAGGTGGTAGCGATGTATTGTGTTTTAGACGATTTTAGAGGGGAATATTTCCTAAACTTTACAGAATTCTATTCATTTAAGTGCACTACCTAAAACCTATGCAGGAGCATCAGCCACATCCATTAGCATATGCCTCCGTTTTGTTGATACGATACATTTGACCCTCGGTCAGCACTCACGTGAGAGTATCTTTTGAAGCAAATTTAATTTATACACTACTTCTTAACTGCAAACTTCGTTCTATAATCGTAAGTTCTAGTCTGGGTGGAAGACTTCGTTTCTATGTTAAGTCGACCTGTTCTTTGCAGTGGTTCCCTGTGACTTGACGTCCAGGGTTAAATTTTGGTGCAAAATTTCTAGGATCACATATATCTGACTACCTAATTTTTGCCCCGAATTTCTCTTCATCTATATTCTTTTTGGATAGTTCGACCAGCATAAGTTCTGTACACAGTGCCTTTTTCCTAAGGAGACAGTAACTTACTGTTACCTTTCCAGCAGAGGAAGTCGAAAAACAGTGGAAAAATTTGAAGGACACTTACGTGAAGACTAGGAAGAAGGTATTTAAAATTGTCTTTTGTTTGGTTTTGTACAGTTGTCATGAGTCTTTTTTAGAGATTGACTTTTATAGTTATCGTATAACAGCGACAGCATGCCAGTAACGCCCAAGTGGAAATTCTACAGTTCCCTGATGTTTCTGGATGATCTATTCAGCGTTCATCGAAATAATCTTAAACGAAGAATTGACGACGTTTCGGGTTCCTCCCAGGTGCGCATTTATTTCAGGTGACTGAGGTCATCCTTATTATGCCAGCAATTGTTTTGACGGTTGAGGCCGTATAAGGCCAACAATATATAAATCTAACACAGTACGTCTTCCTTGTGGGGTTACCACTTCACAATAGTGAAGTGGTGTTTGTTGTAAAATCTTAGTGTTCATTCCTCTGCGCAAATTTTAAAGAAGTGTTTGGTGTAAGTAGCGACTCGCATAGGGTTGCAAGTGTTTTCTTTTAATTTTTTTTTTTTGTCTGTTTCCAGAATGCGATAGTTTCGGCAAAGCGAATTCCTCCTCCACCATCAGAAGAAACCGAAGATGAAGATGAATACATGGCTTTCTGTACGTCACCTAAAAATGCGATGTTGTGCTTTGACCAACGTTGACATCAATGTTTCAGGTCGTTCACTTTTACACCCCTTAAGGGAAATTGCTTACAAGGATAGGATCCAGTATCTAAAAGTCCAGAAGGCAATTCGGGATCTGCTTCATGACGCACAAATGGACATGCTTCTTACCCATATGCGATAGGATACACTGTGGTCCACGCCAACTTCCGGGTCCTTTTTCCCTATTTGCCATCACTTCTGTTTATTGATATGTGTAACCGCACAGTGTCACGCTTGAGTTCTTTTAGTGTTTTTATGTGTATTGTGCCCTAGAGGTCGTAGATAAGGAATTGCTACCCGTTTTAATATTTGTTTTAACCTCATGTATATGGGGTTCCATGATGTATTGTGATACAGGAAGAAGATATTTTTATCAATGGTTACCATCATATTGATATGAAGGATATATTTGAAGTGATGTAACGCAATAACCAGCTCGTAATATTTTCCCGTACGATTTTTGTCCTCGATGTGGCTGGTTCAAGAAATTGAAGTCCAAGAGCTTGGAAAGAACTCGGATTTGTTAACCATCTTGGCCAGCGCAGATCCGGCACTAGGCCATTCGTCGTAATAAATGATCTGAAAATACCAGATTCCAGGGCTCCATTTTCGACATGGACGCCTATGTTAACACATTTTGTGAAACTGTTAGTAACAAAAAGGAGAAAAAAAGCATTAGAGCGAAGATTAGATAGTAAAGACGTTGTTCTGGTGGGAATTGCTTGACAGCCTGTCGACGACGGAGTTTTTCCTGTTTTCCGCGCAGAAGCGCGGTAACACGTGACGCACAGGTCTGGTTTTCCGGCGGTTCCTGATAATTTCCCAGTCACTAGAGCATCTAAAAGGTCGAGAACTTTAAATAGTTATATAGATTTTAAATCCAGTGCTCTATCGGCTTCATCGTCCACGTAATTTTTATGTAGTATTCTTCCGACTTCAGATATGTTTAGTGTCGAGATTTCCGGATGATTGGAGGCCGAATTAGATTCTTTTTGAAATTCGCAGTGTTAGCTGTTCATAGCAAAGAGATTTTGGGGAACGGCCGTGTACTGGGTGGAACTTCGTGTTTAATTGCGTGTTGAACACAAAACATCTTAAGAACGAAACACGTTTTGCGTTCAACACATTGATTTGGGACCTCATCTTGGCTGAATAAGGAGACTTGTTACGAAAAGGTCAGAAAAGTTTAGTGTTGAATGGTACAGCTAATAACATTAAGTATGAGGCGCTGTGGTGGCTTCGAATTGAGGCCAACCACCAATTCTGGGTAGGATGCATTGTAGTCAATGCATCCCAGATGGGTTGTTTTAAGAAAAGGTCGTATCTGCATTCCGAATAAGTGGTACTAAGTTAGCCAACTTATACAGAAGTGGCTATGCATACAGTGCCTTAGTGCTGCCTGATGGCGGTTGTTCCACGTCTAGCGGTGAAGATAAGGTAGTACTGATGAAGTTCATGGGTAGGTTACCTGGTCTTCCGTTGAATTTTTAAGGGATGAGGACGAGTTTTTAAGCTGGCGTTTGCTACAGAGATGTCTCGTTGGTTCAGAACTTGGCTCAAATAAAATTGGTAACACAGGAAGAACAGAAGGACATTGCCCACGTTGTTCATCCAACACAGGCTTGAAGGAAGATATTTGAAGTTCGAACAGCTATTTGTGGATAGAGAAGATTCTCCATAAACATCAATATTGTCTACGTTTTTATGCAACTTACGCGTACTTTCTTCAGTTACTTCACCATAGTCAACTCGTTGCACCGTCAGTGAGTTACAGCAGCTGGCTCGTGGTGTGTTTGTAAGCTCTTCACAGGATGACTGGGAACAAATAGCATTCATAACAGTGCCGTTTGCCTCCAAGCGATACACAGAGGAGTTATCGCCCTTCTACATCACTTTGTAATCCCTTCTGATCCTCTCTGCATACTCTTTCTTCGATTTAGACAGATTAGAATAATTCTATGTCTCACATTCCTTTATCGTCGACGTATTGAAGTTATCATCAATCCTCGTGTAGTAGCTAGTCGCTACTCCACAGAAATCACTCCACCGAATCTTTCTCCTCATTGTATTATTCTTACAACTTAGACTCCCATAAGCCTACACATGCCTTCTGCTGTGCTGGCTTCTTGCACGTCTCCTACTGAACCGCTAATGGTGTATTCTGCACCACAGTTAATCCCTGTTACCATATTGTCGTTGGCACTGTTTAAGTATTGCCGCGTGGTTATTGTTGTACTATTTTATTCATTGTATGAAAGAGATATGATTACCCAAGTTTAACGTCGTGCTTGCGGGAACGTCAAAAAGCCTCACGTGGCAAGTTCGTAAAAGGTCGAGCATGAGCACTATGCCCCCCACTAGTGATTATTCGCTGAATTGACTCTAACACTTATTTTCCACTAGCGAATAGTATAGGCCCATGCTTTTGACAATGTTATACTTCTCTCGCGCGTGTGGCGCAGTGGTCGGAGGCGCCCTGCAGCACACGTGGGATTGATCCCTGCGCCCATGGCACACCAAGCTTTCCATCCCTCCGGGGCCGGCAAATTGGTACCAGACTTGTTTGGGATAGCAGCACTGGCTCGATATATCGGTAGGCCACCGCGAGTCATTGTAACGGCAAGATATGCATTCAGTCACCTCCAAACGATGCTTAATGAGGTAGAATGCATGGTACAACCCTTAGAGATTGATCAACGCCGAGAGTTTTTCTTTATTTATACTTCTCTCATTAACTACAAATTCGCTGCAGAAGGAAAACAGCATCTAGTATAAAGTAAAACCCTATTGCTCCCTACTTTATTTCTAGTCTTGCTCAAAAACAGTAAAATTTGCAACATAGCAGGAATTCCGCCAACAGAAAATAGGATAGAACCTGACCTCTTTGGCTTTTAGATTCAGAAATCCACTCCACCAGGAGAATGTTCCAGTAGATAAGACCAATGCATCGCAAAGCGTCATAATCGCCATATCCACTTCACGATGCTTACCCGGACACGAGAAGAGTGTGCCTGTCGTGAGAGAGTTGTCGAATTGACGTAATTATTTATTAACAAGCGAAAGATCGAGGACAACCATGGTTCAGAGGGACAGATGTATTGACTGAGCTGCTGCAGAGCAATAGTGCTTATGGAAGTTTTTCTTTCCCATTTATTCAACTAGTCATTGTTTGATTTTTCCAAAGCACAATTTAAGTACGTCGTCACAAATTGACCTGTAACTTTGCTAGTACAACAACCGTTCAGATGGCTTGTGTTTACCACTAGGAAAACGAATCAGTAAGCTGTTCTTTGATAACGCCTTCGATTTCCACCGACCCAGCACGCAGGGTGTGTTTGCTCCAGCTTTGGCACCATTCATTTCATTCAAACTTGGGCGGGCTCATCGCTCTGAGTTCGACTGTGCTGGACCTACTACATATTTTGTGCAAATTTTGTGGTCTATGACAAAATTTTCGTCGAGTTCGGTATGAATTGGACTCAACGCATGTAGCACGCAATGGAACCAAAAAAGTACTTTACGTTGCTGCGTCAGTACAGAAATCGTGCTGCGGTGACACCTCATTATCTCCTCATAAATGGTGCCCTTGTTTGCAGAGATAGCTTAGTCTATCCTAGTCCTTCGTGGCGGAACGAAGACACTCATTCAGTGAACAGGTTTTTATAGACTAATAACCAAAGAATGTAGGCTTTTTTGCGCCACACTTGGCAAAACATCCAAGGTGGGGCGAGCTACTGATGTGATGCAAAGGTGTAACAAAAAAAATTTTGCGATCAAATGAACACCCAAAAGGAAAAGTGCATTGGAATCGACGTATATTTTACAATCTCCAAATATGAGTTGAAACCCTATGAAGATAATTTTCCCACAGTAGTTCAGGAGCGGTTGCTCTAACGCTTTAAGGGTTTACATAGGGATAACAGATGACAGATAGACGAAAAAAGCAGTGGGTGAACTCCAAGAGAATGCAAATGTCCTCTTGGCAGGCCACCCAAACGATGGACAGACGTGTTCGTGGCCAACGTCAAGCATCTGCACTTCTAGATGGCAACAACATCAGGATTACTGAATGAGCCTCGTGGATGGCACCATATTCGAAACTGATCACCACCATGGACGATGAATGCGCAAGAGAGAAACGAATGGAAATTACGCTAGAGCCCACTTCAGCCAGTGAAGACGAACCATCCAGGTATCCAAGTAGGTAAGCATTATTATCACTATTACTATCATTATTGTTTTCTATTATTAATTGCTGTTATTGTTATTCATTTTTATCAATTGTTATGGGCGCGTGTGGCGCAGTGGTTGGAGGCGCCACTGCGACACACACGTGGAATCAATCCACACTCCCATGGCCCGCCAAACCTTCCATCCTTCCGGGGTCTGTAAATTTGTACCAGACTTGTCTTGGAGGATAGCAGCACTGGCTCGATACATCCGTAGGCCACCGCTAGTCATTGTAAAGGCCAGATATGCATTCAACCACTTCCAATGATACTCAATGAAGTCAAATGAATGGCGCATCCCTCAGTGATTGGTCAACGCCGAGAGCTTTATTCTTTCCTTTTCTAAAAGCCTTTAGAATGTAGACGTCTTTGACAACAAGATCTTTTCTTGAAATTGTAGTACTTCAATTTTCTGGGTCTCCAAATCTCCATTTTTTCGCTTTTCTTCGTAGGATATCCTATTTTGAACAGCGAAACGATTAGCAAGTAGGATTTCCTCAGACATAAAGTGACGACACAACGACTGCGTCGTAGATCCCCACAGTTGCCAAGCTTTCGTTAGAAGTTCCGATTTCTTCAACAATTTCTTCGAAAATTTGAATTTTAAACAATGGTAAAGTAGAACAACGTGTTGGAAAAATTATTCGCACCCGTAAATGTAAAGAGAAAAGTCTCTTCTATAAAAAAGTCAGCCTATGAATCTTTGAGGGACCCTAGTTGTCGCAAATTCTCGGGGAACAAACCAGCATCCAAACCATTATGTGCTAAAAGTTTTGCCATATTTTTCTTTTTTTTCACAATTTTAGTATTGAAACACTCAGATAAGGACAACCCGCCTTCGCACGCTTTAAGGACTCCAGCACTTTCCCCGTCTGTGGTTTCTACTGGAAACCCTAGAGTGCAGGGTTAGAGTACTCTCAGGCGTTAACCATAAGCAGTCGTTGGCTTCTACGGAACGGAGGAGAATTTCCAGCCCTATAATTCGAGCTCATCAAGAAGACAGCGATTTCCGTAACGACAGCGAAGCTTGCGACTGGTCGCCTGACCATGTGATCAACAAGGCGAATCCGTTTAACTGGCTTACATCCTAACATGACATTTCAACTTCTCATCTATAGAGCTTTAAAAAATTCTCGATAAATGTCCTTCTATAGATAAGTAGACAAACGAATGCAATCACGTCCCTGGTCATCGTCCGTCAATCTAGCTCAACCATTTTTCACCTCGGGCGTTTCTTCGATGTCTTGTCCTTTGAGATCGTTCATTTGAGAGTTTACGCAAGGCAAACAATGACAAGGACAAGAGAGCATGTTATTAACTACTATTTAATTTTTTATTATAGCTACAATGATGTTGAGAGATTTGCAAAATTCCGGACCGCAGGTGTCTGCAGTGGGGATCGAACCCACTATTAATATTACCGGAAGCTCACGTGTTCATCACCAAACTATGCGGCTCCTTCGTTTTACATTTCTCTCAGCCGTGTTTTAACCTGTAGGTGCTACCAGCAATCTTCCTATTCCCAAAACCGACTTTCTATTAACCTCAGCATTGATTGATAATTCGATATTTTTCTTTAATAAGCGGACACGGGATTGTTATTATAGAATTCATTAGGATTCAATAGCTGACGTTTCGGCGGTTTCGCCTTCTTCAGAGCCTGGAAAGGTCAAACTGGGATGCGATCTACTCAACCAAACACTTTCATAACCCTAGCAGAGAAAACTTAACAAATAAAATGGCATTCGCATAAGAAACAACTTCATTTAAACATCTATCGTTTATTCGTTGTAAGTACTTAAGTTAGTTGGTGGATAGCACCCGCAAGGAGTAATACATGGGGTAAGACTGCGCCTATGTCAGATCATTAGCCTGAGGTTTGGGACTTTCCTGTGGGAGTATAGTGACTTGAATGACTGAATCTTCTCCGTTGTGTTCCTGCATCCTATGCGCGCCTAGTGGAGTGTTTGGTTTTAATTTAGATTTGCCGCCTAGGTGTTCTCTCATGCGGACGCAGAGCGGTCTAGCTGTTTCGCCAACGTATTCGTCCCCGCATGTTTTACAAGAAATCAGATAGACTGTACCCGAACTCATGCAATCACCGTCTTTACCGTTAGGGAATTTATGCAATTTTTCGTTGTACGCAGACGGTCATATAGGCGGCTGCGAACTAGCTGGTGTCTTAGAGTGTCCAGTAGTATTTCTATTACTCTTACGGAATTCTCTAGATCGGCCCTTATTGAGCAACGTTTTATAGCTGCACTTATTTCGTTTGAAATAAGGTGCAAGAGGACCGGAGCCTTGTTTTCGCTAGAATTATCGCTCTGGGACGTGGTTTTCCCTCTATGCCTATGCCGAAAAGCTACAGTCATGTCTGCTTATCGAAGAAAAACATCGAATCTTCCTATTGCCTCATTTATGCAATTAGGTTTTTATTTACAACAGTCTTCTATTCTGTTGCAAGTAACATAGCTAGAGATGTCACAGTTCCATCTATGTCGCTCTAACCGTATTGAATCTCTGAGGTTTTCTCATGAGTATCATAGGTACACATTCTACTGAAGAACCAAGGCAACGATTCTACCATCCTGCAAGTTTTGTCCATCTCGGATTCTTATTCACTTTTTTGGTAAGGTAGTAAACTGATGCGTATATTGAGCAAGAGAAAGCAAAGGTTCAGGCTCATTAGGAGTGAGAAAGGCGAAACCGCTGAAACATCAGCTATTGTACTGATAACTGCTTTAATACCAACTTCGTGTTTGCTCATTGAGGGAATGCAGTAAATTATTAATCAATGCCAAGGTTTATAGAAAGTCGGTCTTGCGACTCATTAGGAAATTTGGCGTTAGTTAATATCACCACAAACTGGGGAAGTGCTTGTAGCATATTTGATTAGAGTTACCCTGCAGTACACGCGGGATCTTTGGTTCGATCCTATGCCGTGTACAAACCAAGTCCTCGATCTCTCTGGGATAGGCAAATTTCCACCTTTATCCTTTAGCTTTATCTTTCTAACCTTTTTGCTAACGCCAAAAAAGGACTGACAAAACAAAACAAACCTTTCTCTTGAGCTGGTAGGTGATTCGCTACCCATGAAGGATTATCCGAGCAGATCACGAAAACCACCTAAATTACCAGCGGTCAGAGATATGACTTGATCACGAATATTTCATGCACAAATGAATCAGAAAAATGAAAAGTATGCAATGTGATGGTTACAAATGGAGGAAAAATTTTTTGTGAATAAACAGTCAGAAAACAAACTCGTGTCTGCTCATGAAGGAAAAAAGTGGGTTATTTGATCAATGCCGAGATCAATAGAAAGTAGGTCTTGCGAATTACTAGAAGGAGATCGTTGTCTGGGTATGAATGGCATTTTCCCTACTATTTATTGTGTATTCCAAAAGGGCGCGTGTGGCATGGCACAGTGGTTGGAGGCGCCACTGCGACACACACGTGGATTCGATCCCCACACCCATGGAATCACCAAGCCTTCCATCCTTCCGAGGTCGGCAAATTGGTACCATACTTCTCTGGGATGATAGGAGCATTTGCTCGATACATCGGTAGGCCGTCGCGAGTTATTGTAAAGGCCACATATGCATTCAATCACCTCCAAACAATGTTTAATGAAGTTGAATGCATGGCGCATCCCTAAGGGATTGATCAACGCCGAGAACTTTATCCTTTTGTCCTTTTACTATGGTTCACCATGCAGATAAATCACTGTGTGCACTTGGAAAGCAGCGCATTCCAACAATAACCACAGCGTTTACTTTTATTTTCTGCCTATTGCAATTTTTCACGGCACAGTATATTACGTGTGACTCAACCACAATGATGCTGGGATATTTGCAAAACTCCGGATCGCAGATGTCTGCGGTGGGGAACGAACACGTTATTACCCTTTGAAGTGGTTAACGCGTTCACCGCCACACCATACAGGTCCTCCGTTTCGCCAGTTTCGCAAATAAGCACAGCGGTTAAAACCAAATAACAGCTAAGTATTAGTCGAACTATCGGCCAACGAATTTTCCGAGAAACGATTTTTTTCGAACCACTAGTGTAGAGAATAACCTTGCTAGTTTCAAGTCTCTTACTTTGATCCGCCTTCAATTAGTTATCGATTGAATGTACATAGCGTGGTAAAAAAAGGTTCTAGAACCCATTGAACTGAGAAGGAACACGATCGTGTTCATAATTTCGCGTATGGGTTAATTTACGCCTCAGACACTTGGAAGCTATCTAAGCAGGGAAAAAATAACTGAGCGGTATCCAACTGGCAATCGCAAAGATAGAGCTGAGAGAGTCCTGCATCCTATAAGTGAGAGATCGCCGTTCTATAGCCAAGATGTCGGCAATCAAGTAGCACAAACGTGATGCATTTAATGACTACCGGTGGTGAAGTGCCGTTAACGACTAGGTTATAAGAAAAGTCAAGCTCATGACAGGAAGATGGCCGACAATATTCTTAGATATCGATACAAAGGTCGTAGATAGAAAAGTGAGGTTGTCCGACTGCCCTTAAGAAGGTAGAATCTGCCGAGTAACCTTCGTACGCGACAGGAGTAAAAAGATGCTTTGCGCTTGACTCACTGAACGACCATAGAACGGCTCATTCACCATAGAAGTTGTAATTTCAATACAGCATTATTGGAAAGTTTGCTTTCTCACCGTAGTGACGAATGCTCCCAAGCTTAGAAAAGCGTATCCAAGTTGAGAAAGTAGTTCGAATATTTCGATTCAGATGCCTAGCTCAAAGTAATCTATCCCAAATGTCGCAGCGAGACAATCCCATGTGCTTCCGGATGAAGAAGAGCACTGGCGCGGATATTCGGGATTTCTATAGAATATAGTGCGTTTCCAACCAATAAAATACCAACATAAAGTGAAGACAAATTTTTGAAAATGAGGACTTTAAGCATTCAAGTAATGAATGAATGAATTGATGGATTTTTTTAGTGAAGTCTGTTAAACATAATTTAAATGAATAAGTATTTGAACTTGATACTTGAATGACCCATCCTCACTAGTTGTGCGGGCTCCAGCATAACTCCATTTTTCGAAAATTTGCTGGCTAACATATTCTGGTTTCTTGGAATTCCGAGGTCAGCGTGGCCAAAGTCTGCCCCAGCTCTTCACCACCACAGGCAGTCGCAGACCTTGTGGATCGGAGGTTAATTTACCACCATGCAACTTTGATACCAGGACGGTGATGGTATTGGTTTGCTCTTAGCTAGGCTTTCTGATGGAAACACCGGACTCTTTCTCTACTTGGGAGACCCTACCAGGGGAATACCCCACTGTACTTCGCAGTCCAACACCCAGGAACACCTCCCAGCCACGATGAGGCGGTAAATGGTTGGGAGGAAATGAATAAGCAGTCTTTGAATAGCATAATTTCTTCTGGCATCGAAAAACTTAGAGGGAAGGAACTCAAAAGTGGAATTCCCAACATCATACCTTTCATAATAGACGTGTGAACGAAGTGCATAGGATGAAAACTGTTAAAGAATTATAGATTTTCAGCCCCTAGATTAATTTCAGCTCAATTTGAACCACATGCTGAACTGATTACAAGGATTATCTATCGCATTTTCGCTCGATAACGTCCTTTGCCAGCATTCATAACCAGAAAATGCACTGATTTCCTTCAGCGCAGTAGTTAGAGGTACTCTACAGAACACACATGAGCCTTGGTTCGACTCATGTCCAGAGGTAACCTAGCATCCAATCCACCCAAGTTCAGAAAATTGAAGTCAGACAACTCTGCGGAAGGTAAAACACAGAATGAATAATTCCCATGATCGACTTTCTATTAAACTCGACATCGATCAAATAATTCTTTATAATCTTTTTGAGCAAACGCGAGGTGTTATTTTATTTTTTATTCAAGAACATGCTGACGTTACGGCGGATTTCGCCTTCCTCAGAGCCTGGAAAGATCAAGTTGACTTCAATTTACCTGTGCCAAGAGCACGTCCATAGTCAAACAGAGAAAACTCTAAACTAAGATTACAATCACATTGAACACAGAATAGCTTCCTTCTTTGCACACTCACCGTTTCTATGAGTCTCCCACTGAATAAGTCATGAGGGGACCAACTGCACAGAAATCACATGGAATCGTAATGTACCCTCCCTTCAAAATAACAGGTTTAAATACTGCCTAATATCACGAGTGATAATGAGGCATTTCTCCCGGCGGTTCATTTTCGGATTCTTGGAATTGATCGAGAAAGCCTCGAGGGTTTTGCGCGCTTGTGTTTTCGATTCCTGTGCGAGGATCGTAACTACTACTTCAAAATCCTTTCCGTTATGTCTCCGCGTCCTGTGCGTGCCTAGTGAAGTATTTGGTTTAAGTTTACCGGCTATATGTTTTTATGCGGACACAGAGTGATCTGCCCGTTTCGGCAATGTAATTGTCTTTGCACGTCTTACAAGAGATCAGATAGACTGTACCCGAACTCATGCAATCACCGTCTCTACTATTAGGGCAAATGATGCAATTTTGCGTTGCACATAGACGGTCATATGGGCGGTTGCGAACAGAATGAATAGACTGGCAGGCATTGAGAGTCATTTTATAGGGAAAATACGCATTCGGTCAGCTCCTAGCCTGTACGCTGCATGTTGACTACTACTTAACAGGATGATGACGATCTATAGTTGTACTGGATTCGACATTCAGTGCAAAAACATACATTTTCGCGGTCTCCTTTCGCCATTTGCATGGCACGTCGATAGTAGTCGGCAGTGGCGGCTACGTGCCCGTGCCGGAGATTCCGCTCGTTCATCAAGATGTCGATTCCTCGTCGCACGTGCACTCCGACGTAGAACAACTCGTCCGACACTAAACTATATCTGATGGTTGCCGATATTCGAACGACTTCTGCAGAAAGGAATATCACTTAGAAAGTACGTTGCTGTCCGGATATCTTCCATCCTTCAACATGCGAACAACAATGATTTTCTATTAGAAGCCTTATGCACGCTATTTTTTGTGAGACTATGCTGCTAGTCGGCGTTAACAATACGAAGTTATTCCCACGTCCGACTTTCTATTAACCACGGCATTGATTGAATAATTCTTTCTACTTCTGCTTAGCAAACACGAAGTGTTACTTTATTTCTTTGTTTACGTACAAGCTGACGTTTCGGCGAATTTCGCCTTGGAAAGGTTAAGTTAACTACAATCTGCACGGCCAGACACCTCCATAACCAGACAGAGAAAATGCTGAACCAAAATTTCAATCACATTGAACACAGAGTCTTTGCACACTCATCGCTTTCTATGGGTCTTCCACTAAATATGTCACGTGAAGACCAACCACACAGAGCTCACATGAAATCGCAATGTGCCCATCTAATCAGAATAACAGGGTTATACACCGCCCAATTTCACGCGTGATAATGGGGCATTCCTCCTTGCGGTTCATTTTCGGATTCTTGGAATGAATCCAGAATCATTCGAAAGTTTTGCGCGCTTGTGTTGCCGATTCTTGCGCGAGGATCGTAACCCTTGCTTCAAAATCTTCTCCGTTATGTCTCTGCGTCTTATGCGCGTCAAGTGGTGTATTCGGTTTACGCTTGCCGACTAGATGTTCTTTTATACGAACGCAGAGTGGTCTACACATTTCGCCAACGTATTCGCCACCGCACGCTTTACAAGAGATCAGATAGACTGTAGACCGGCCCTTCTTGAACAAAGTTTTATAGCTGCACTTACTTCATTTGAAATGAACAGTAGGATAAACGGGACCTTATTGTCGCTAGAGTTATCGTTGGGGTACCTATGGCTTCCTCTACACCTAACTCGAGCTACAGTTGCGTAGCCATTAAAAATGGCTATTTGATGCGCCAGGTTCCGCGACTCCTCTCTCTGCTGTCTTCCTGTGCACACGCCGGAAGCTGTTCGAAACATGTTTCTTACAGGCGCCCTTTTCGTGTGAGAGGGGTGAGAAGAAACGTAATGAGCCAAGATGTTTTTATTACTTGGCTTTCGATACCACTTCGTAATGTAGCCGTTTTCCGATAGGATAATTTGCACGTTCAGAAATGGAAGCCAGTTTTCTTTTGGTTTCTCTCGGGTGAATTTAATATACTCTGACTGTTCGTTCAACAACTCGAAACATCTGACAATTTCCTCTTGTGTTGAACAATTGACCAAGCAGTCATCTATATATCTACAGTAACGGACCGAGGTCGATTACTGGCGCTTCCACCTTAGACATGAATGCAATGGCAAGGCTTGGTGCCAGTAGCTGTCCCGTTGCCAACTCTCTCATTTGTACGTAATACCTCCGGACCATCTGAAAATTGAGCAGTTTAGGCACTCCCTTAAGATTGTCATCAACTGCTGAATCGAGAAGCCATACATGTTTATTGCTCCTTCGTGTTGTATAAGGAGCTCGCGGATCGCTTGCATAGCGGAGTCATTCGGCACGATTGTATTTGGTGTTCGATAAATGGGCTGGAATCTACTTCAACAACTGGGTAAGTATTAGAGTAATTAACCACGTTGTCCTATCCGTTGGCCCGTCTACACAGCTATTGATAGGTCTAACCTTAAACAATGATGGATCGGTAAGATCATCGCTGAATACTAACTTATCGCTTTTGATAAGTAAGTACAGGGCGGGACATGTTGGTAAGTCAACTTTGAATTGAGAGATAACTGATCATTTTAACCCAGCCGCTCTTACCATTTTAATCCATTAGTCGTTTAACTTTCCGTATTGACTTTTAAATTTCTTCTCAGATGACGGACGATAAAGGGAAGCATCTTCAAGGTGCTTTTCCGTTATCTCAACATCTAACTGATGGAACATCTAACTGATCTAACTTACAGCGAACTCTCCACCCTTATCGCTAACCGATAGTCTTATGTTCTTCGATTTTATTTTATCAGCTCTCGTACCTCCTGCATACCACGTTTTTGCATTTCAGTAAGGTTGGAGCAGTATCTCCTGGCGCGATAGTGATTAAGGACTTTGAAAGTTTCATTCGTAAACGTCCGAAATTTGAAGTCGGCTTCATTATTGAGCTTTTTCTGCTTAAAGAACGGTTGTGGAAATGGTTAAGTTACTAAGTAACTTTACTAAGTTACTATTACTAAGTTACTTATTACTTACTTGCTTTTACTTATTACTACTTATTTACAAAGTTACCACTTTTTATAGGCGGAAGCTTTTCTTAAAAGCAGTGTTCCTTTACTATTCACTTTAACATGTAATATTCCTTCCAACGTGTTATGTTTCTGCTTGTTGTTCATTTCTCTTCTCTTGATGTCTTACGTCGTTCCCACACCGCCGCGACATGCATTGATTTCAATCCACATGCCCTCGAAAATTTGTATCACAGAAGGCGAAGACGTATCCAAAACAGAAGTTTCATAATATGTCTATTCAATTAATATAAGGGGCGCGTGTAGCGCAGTGGTCGGAGGCACCCCGCAATACACAAGGGATCGATCCTGGCGCACAAGGCTCACCAAGCGTTGTCTACTCTTCCGGGGTTGGCAAATTGGTACCAAACTTGTCTAGCAGGATACCAGCACTGCGTCGATACATCGGTAGGCCACCGCGAGTGATTGTAAAAGCCAGATATGCATTCAATCACCCCCAACGATGCCTAGTGAAGTTGAATGCATGACGCATCTCTCAGGGATTGATAAACGCCGAGAACTTTATTCTTTTAACAAATTATTATGTCTATTTAAAAGTTTTTTTTTATGAGAGGGTGTCCTCATGATGTCGAATAGTAACTGCGATTCAAAGCGTTGTTTCATTTTTCAGCAAGCTCACGCAAGCTGAAGAAGTTTCATTCTTTAGCTCAGCTAAAAGCAAATCTATAAATATGAAGTGTTTCCAAACTTGCTGGAATTTTCACGAGCGTTGGATAATAATAAAAGTTGCAGAAACTTCTACTTTTATGCACAGCGGATCTACTTATTGTAAGGACTATTCAGCAAGCTACCGGCGAATCTGTAGGTGACGAACGTCGGAGGTAGAAAGTCAGACGTGGATGGAAAGCGACTGCGTATTTTTTTATAAACAGTTGTACTCAAGGAAAGCACTCCATCTCGATGATGGTACAAATTCTGCTTACAAGTAATGAAATTCGTGCATGCAAGTAAGCTTTTTTGCTTAATGCATCTTGCGAGTCCTTTTAGTTAGCGAGAAGTCTAAAGTCAATCGTCTGGAGAGCAGATAGTAAAAATATCTCAGGATCGCTTCTAACAAACAACCCCCGCGTCCATTCCGAAGGATCCCTGAGTACATCCAGTGCTTGCGGTAAAGCAAGCAAGCTACATCTCTCAATAAACGGTGACAATAATGATCATCATACGAGAAGTGTGATGACCCTTGTATTTTTCCAATAGGTGAAGTTTTCCCAGCCGAGTTACGTACTTCTAGATGAAAGTTGATAGTTGATGGATGTGGTAGTTGGATAACTATGCAATGCATAGTAGGTCATTAGTTCGATCCCGCTCCAAGGGAAACCAACCCCTTCAGGCCCTCCAGATTCGGCGAATCTGTACCTACTAGTTTTCGTGGACAAAAACATTGGCGTGATGGATCGGCAGGCCTCATAAGTTATTGTGTACGTCATGTATGCACTCAATCGCTTCTACGATGCTACGAATAGAGTTAAATGCACAAAACATCTCTAAGAGATTAATCAACGCCAAACACTGCTATACTCACATGCATCTGGTTCCATTTCGAACGCTTCGTCTCCAGGTTTGGAGTTTTTATTAAGAAGAGGTCGTGCACGTGCTAAAGCTCTTTTTGCCACCAGGCTATTTAGGAACGATATTGCCTGAAAGCTGCCAGTCAAATTACCTCCTATTCAATTCTGTTTAGCCATATAGTCGTACATTTTTCTAAAACTTATTTCGACTATAAAATTTTCTTCATTGAAATAGCTAACAATTCTATAAAATTCCAAGAAGTAGGTCTAAGAAATGTGTTAGAGAAGGTCGTAACAAAAATTTCTACACAAGAAGGGAAACATGCTTGGCATAGCCGTCATAGCTAGTGGCCGACGATGTTTATCGACATTCTTTGTATGAAAGCAATGAAAAGCATAGTCGAATAGCAATATTCGACTTTTCTAGCACATTCGATACTAAACGTTACTACGTTGACGAAGAAGCCGTATGATAATTTTTGTAAAGAAATGATTACCTTCTGCTGAATGGACTGTAGAAAAGTGAATTCTTTACGGATTAAGACGTCATTGTTCGGAGAGAAGTATCGTGGATTTTGTAAATACCCAATGATTGCGCTGATCCGTCCGTTGGTTGTGTTGGGAACATGAACGAACGAACAGCAGCTCTGAAAGTTGTTTGAGCATCACCAGACGAAGTGCTCAACCCGATGACGGAAACGTCAAGGAAGTGTGTACGAAGGGTAAACTAAAGTGAACAGAGACGAAAATCACAGCAAGGCCAGAAAAGCTCATAATAAAGGACAAAGGATAAAGCTCTCGGCATTGATCTATCCCTGAGGGATGTGCTATGTATTCGACTTCATCAAGCATCGTTTGAATGTGATTGAATACTTCGCCTTTTAACAGTGACTCGCGGTTGCCTACTGATGTATCGAGCCGGTGCTGCTGTCCTCCTAGACAAATCTGGGAATAGTTTGCCGACCGGGAGGGTTGGAAGGATTGCTGGACCAGTGACGCGGGGATCGATCCCATGTGTGTCGCAGGGCGCCTCCGACCACTGCGGCACACGCGCCCGTGAAAAGCTTGTAACACAGCAAAAAAAACGTATTTTTTCGTAGTTGCCTGCTAAAGGTGCTGGATTTTTGTTCGGTTGAAAACTGAAAATCCAACGAACCGTAATCTTGGTGGTTGAGTTTGCTGCAATTCTTAACAATTGAGTTATGACTTCGTCAGTTGCGAAAACGGCATCCAATTCGAAAGCTCGTCTAAACGATTTCTCTTGATTGGTTCTTTCACTCCTTCACTCCATACTCTTTCAAAAATTCTCTTCACTTTTTATTTTTGAGCAGGCGAACGGATTCAGGCAAAGTTACACAGAGCTGAACGAAAATCTCATGAGAATAAATGATTAGTGCTAAAATTAGTAATGGCACCTCAATGTATTGGTAACTGGAACGACCAGAATGGATTTACGGGCTTCAGCAATGCTTCGAAGGGATGCGTATTGAAACATTAGATTTCCAAGTCCTAAAGCCCATCAAATTACTACCTAGCAGCAGTAAAATGATAAACAAAGT